TCTTACTCTTGTACATGGGGGGAGGGGTGTGTGTGTGTGTGTGTGTGTGTGGCAATACAGTATGTTGGGGGGGTGTATGTATATATAGGTGGTTGTGGGGGCAGGGTTTGGGTGTGTGGTGTGAAGAAGGGTGGGGGGTGTAGGGACCCTCCATGCACCTATCGTGCACAGCCTTCGCCACCGGCAGTAGCAGCAGCAGGTGGTGTGCACTCTGGGCCCTCATGGCCTACACAGGTGCTGCCACCCAGCATCTTGCGGCTCCAGCCAGCACTGCACATGATGGCAAGGAGTGTAGCCAGGCCAGCCCACCTCTATTGTGTGGTGCACATGCAACTCCCGGCGCTCGCACGCCACCAGGGGAAGCCCTGAGCGATGGAGCTAGCTGCCTTCCCTGCACACTGCCGTGCAGGTCCCAAGACTCCATCAGAGGTACAGGGGAGCCCCACCCTAGATACAGCTCTAGCCCCAGATAGTTAATCTTGCATCAAACTTTCACATGCATTTTGAAGATGATTTTTTTTTGCTTGATTTTGATGCACAGAAGATGTATGACTGGACTGGGCTCTGAAGTCTAATCCACTGCATCAAGCCATCTCTGCTCAGAACTGGTCCCATTTCCACCTGAGACCCAAGGGTCTCTTGCTAGAGGGAGCAATCATCTAGTTCCACTTGGCAAATCACAGGCATTCAAGAAGTGTTCACAGGTCACCAAGAGCAAGCAAACACAGAACCAGAAATGACTGCTGCCATAGGGGTCTGGGCTCTAGGGCCATTTATACATGTGTGTCACATGCTGGGGTCCCCAGAGGTGGCCATGATACCCCTGGGCCCCTTGACTGTGCCAGTTCCGCCCCATGAGCACCCTCTTTCTTACCTGCCATGTCTTGTTGGTAATAATTATGACTAGGGAGGCTGCCCTCAATTTACATTGGGCACGGTCCTGCTGGAACCCACTGGACCCTGTGGGTTCTTGGACCCCTTTTGGGTCCTGCTCCAAAATGGATGTCTCAGGACACCCTCAGCCTTATGGGCTAGATGCTTGGCTCCAAACTTCCCCTTTAGCACGTCCCAAGTCTCGTAGATGGCATCTACAGTGTCCCTCCGTGGCCTTAGTTTCACTTGGCCTCTGGTCGTAACTGGGCTCTCCGCAGCCTTGTCTCTTTCTCACTGTGCCCACACTGGCGCTGGGGTCCCCACACTGTAGTGGGCCCCCAGTGAGGTCTCTTCCTTCCCCAATAGCCTCAGCCCAATCCACCGGACTACAAACCGAAATCAAAATACAAGCCCCTAGGCCATAACATAATGTAAGCAGCTCATGGTGTGCTCTGTCCCTTTGAATGAATCACCCTTCCCCCAGCACAACATGCCTTGTAGACCAGGGCCTGGTGAGCTCCTGAAATCTCTTAACCTTACCAGCAGCAGGAGATGGGCTGTCAAGCCTCTCCCCTTAGCTTCTACTAGGAGAGCTCCTTCCCCCTTAGCTCCTGGCAGAGAACTGATCCTCTGGTCCCAGCCCTGGGGTTTATATATGCCCCAGGCCCTGCCTCTTCCAGTCAGCTGACCGCCTGCAGGTGTGGGCTAATGCCCTCATTCCT